ACCCTCCTGAGTAGCATCGCTTTATGAGGGAGGTTTGCAGGGAACGGGCCCTGTGGCCACCAAAGCCCTTTGCTGAGCACCAGAAGGCCACGTGAAATCAGTGTTTATCAATCTTTTTAAAGGTATGTAGGCAATATTTGGGGGAGGTGAAGCCACTTCCATTATATTCCCTTCCCCCCTCCCCCGCCACAGGCTGTGGAGTTTGTCTAGAAGGAAAGATCAAGCCATGACCTTCAGCAGGCTTAGCCAGTGGCTTTCGTCATTAAAAAAAGTTTATTCTTGTTTCCAGCTGTAACTGTTCTAAAACCATATTCCACTGGCCTCCAACCAAAATATCCCCTCTCTTAGACACACCTGAGGATCTGGTCATTCCCATCTTATTCACAAAGGTTTTGCTTGTAGTGAGAAGCAGGGGAGGAGCCGAATGACAAAGACCAGGGCACCCTGGAGGGAGAAGACAGTCAGTGGCCCCCTCAGTGGCCCTGGGACTGATTTCAACATCCTTTTGGGACAGGGACATTGAGAGAGAGTTGCTAGAACTTTTCAGAGACCCTGAGAGACTCTGGCCGGGAGTTTTAGGTGAGGCAGGGCCCATCCCTCTCGCCCACACCTGTGTCACCTTTGCACACTCCACACAATCCCACAACCTCGGCCAGATTAGAAGCTTGAAGGCAGTGGTTCTCAGAGTGTGGCCATTAAGCCAGTCCTGAAACAGAAACATCACCTAGGAATTTGCTAGAAATGCAAATTCTCACAATCTACACCCCTAAAATTTGTGTTGTAACAAGCCCTTCTGAAACAAACACACTCAAATTTGCCTGCAAGATTTAAGGAGGACCCTACACTTAGGCGTCTGCAAAGGCAGGGTCATTGCATGCATGGACATGGAAGTAAGGGCTTCCTTAAATTTTTATTTTCAGGTTCCCACTAGTCCTGGCCCTGAGATCAGTGCTTTAGGAAAAACTGAAGGCCACAACCTTGGCTTTTCCCATGAGTTGCTTTCTTGGCAGTGGCTAGTAGCAAAGAAGGGCAAGTCCTTTGGACAAGAGCAAGTCAAAGCCCCAGAGGAGTCCCGGAACAACTTATTTCAGGGCACATGAAAGGTATTTCTATGGGGATCACGAGGACACTGCTGGGAGGACACTCACTTGCAATGGTGGGAGTTGGGGTGTCAGAAGGAGACCGAAGCCTCTCCTCTCCTCATGGACACTAGAGAGTTGGCAAACTTTTCAGTAACAGAACCGCCAGGGTGAACAGTCACTGAGTATCTACTGCGTACTAGACGTGCCACTGAGCACCTGACTTCTCACACTTTCTCCTGTAACTCTGAACACAAAGGTAGGTTTTCTGATCCTGGTTTTGCAGAAGAGGAAACATGAATACAAGGTTAAATAACTAGTGTCATCTGTCACGCTGGTGCATGGAGGGCTGGGGTTATGTGCACCCTGCTGGCTGTCAATGCTGCCACCACCTGCACTGGGATTTGGGAATTTCTCCAGGTGTGACTCCATTTCCCCCCACCTCAAGCAGCTGACTCATTAGCATCCCTGTTCTCCCTCCCTCCCCCGTTTGGCTTCACACCTTGGATCCCATCTCCTATTCAATTTCTGGGACAGCATTTGGTGATCTGTCCCTCCTGCCTTGGACTTTGAACCCCTGCAGCACTGGACATGGATCCTGGAACTGAGTGGAACTCATCCACAAGGATGCTGGGAAGAGACACCACTGGACCTGGCCCTCCTAGGTCCACTTAGACCCTGTCTGACATTACACAACACTTTGCCCCCCTTTTAAATGGAATTGCATTAGGCACACAAGGTATACAGCGAATCTGATCTATTGCACATGCTTGAAAATGCTGCCTGGTTGAGCAGAAGCTGGGGTTACATATTGAGAGCCACAGACACGCAATGACTGGTTTTTCCAGGTCGGTACCTGTCTGCAAGACAGTACATGGGAGAGAACACTGGCAATGTTCAACCCTTCACTACAACTGCAGCCCTGTGTGACCTTAGGGAATCTGACATGCACCTCTGGGCGTTAGTTTCCCCCTTTTAGAAAGGAGAGACTTTCATTCATTTGTCCTCCCGGAGTTCTGCAGCTGTTGCAGCATCCTGGCCTACTCAGGGATGTTGTAAGTCAGCTTCACTCACTCACTCACTGGCTATCTGTGAGCCCATCGTTGAGATACAAACTGGTAAAGTTCCCTAATCCCTGAGAAGGAAAGCTCCCAGCTTTTACTCAAGGTGATGTGTCAAAGGTAGTTTGTAAACCTCATAAGTTGGACAGCAGGCACCAGCGTATCTAGGCACCATCTCTAAGAGAACCTGCTTAAAGGATCCCCACTAGGAGAACATAAGATTTTGGAACTTTTGTGCCTCTGGTATGAATGCTATCCTGGATTTCTCAAATCTGATTTGCCTATGTGACCAGTGCTAAAACACTTAAGATGTGTAAGACACTCAGTGGGTCCAGCAAGAAAAGGAAGCTGGGAGGGTTGGATCCCACTGCATGTCAAGGAAGGAAAGGGAGGGGTGGAACGGGGCAACCACGGCGGAGTGGGACGGAGGTCTGGGTCTCTGTAGCTGGGGAGGACATGGCAGGGGAGGGGCCTGGGAGTACGAAGAGCCGTTCAGACATCCTCTGTGGTCTTCCCAGACAGCAACAGAGGTAAGAAAACCACAGCCACGCTATTTTGCCTCCCTCCCCACCCCCCCCAGCAAGTGGCAAGCTCCTTGAAGGCAAAGACTTTGTACTTCCCTGAAATCAAGTTCGCATTGATTAACACATTAAAAATAAAACACCAGACTTGGAAATCACCCTCCTTTCTAACCCCTGCCTCTTTCCAATTAATGTTAAATATAAGTTCAAGAAATAATGAATCAAGCAAAGGCTTTTGCCACAGCTTTCCCTTCTGTTAAGACAGTGTCTGGTAAATCAAGAAAAACATACCATTTACCCACTAAACCAAACACAATCCCTTATTACACAATTAACCAAAACACAATTGCATGTAATACAATTATACAAGACTACAATTACACAAAAGTAATGATGCGGTGTAGATGGCAATGACTTTCATGTAATCGAAAATAACGAGAGCTTCCTTGATTAGAAATTAAGGTAGCATAAGAGACACTTATTGACAAATATTCCCTGTATTGATCCACACTTCGCACAGGGCTTCCTCACAGGGTGAGGAAGGAGGGTGCCTCCTCCTCACCATTCCTGGACACTGCAGGGGTGGCCACCATTCCCTGTAACACCTTTTATTCTAAGGTCTCTAAACTAATACATTTTAATGAAACATACATGTTATTAGCCACTTTTCCAGCTGGTCAAATACAAAAATAATGAACCATAAGAGCCAAGAAGTCCATGTGATGTGCTGCTGATCCCACTTGCAGTGGTATTAACAGAGAAACAGATGCATAAAGTTCCACCAAATTGTATTGGTCATTGCCACATCAGCGGACACTACATTCTGCACAGCTGATTTCTGTACCGCTCGGTGGAGGCACGCACTATTGCCCACTTTTGCTCCCCTGGACCGGGGCACCACCTCCTCCGCCGTGTGCTAGCTCTCTTCCAATCCATCTTTCTCATTTATTCTGAATACTCTTTCTACTAGACAAATCTGACCACCTTTCTTGCTGATTCTTTTTGAGAACATGAAGGCAAATTTCACTGGCACACAAAGTTCTTCATGGTCCTGGCCCACGTACCTGGCCATGTGTACCACCCCCACGGACCTACCATCTCTACTGAGCTGTGTTTTATTCTATCTAAGACACCATTAATTGTAAGACATACCATTAGTATATATGCCACTAAGAAAAATAAATGCTGCCAATTAAACTATTATACACCATCAATTGCAAACTGTATTTCAATATTAGATATTTTGAATGCAAAAAAAAATGTATTTTGAATTCATGAAATACTTGCAAGCCCTGCTCTCTGCTGTTTCTGTGCAATGTTCCACCAATCTCCTTCGCCCTCCCCACCTTACCCAAGCTGCCTGTGCCTCCTGCTCCAAGACTGGACTCAGCAGCACCTCCTGCACCCTCCCTGACCTCATTCCCCAGGCCAGACTAAGCTGCTGCTGCCATGGGTCCAACAATTACAGGTGCATTTCTTGGTCATTTATCTCACTTTACTGTAATGGCTAATATACTCCATGGTGAAACACGAGCAGAGGCCCTATGTCAGCAACACGTAGGCAAGCACTTAACAGACATTCAATAAATGGACATTGATCCATTCAACAAATAATATTTTGCCTGGGTTGAGCAGAATTAGAATGAAGGAGGTAGGCTCTGGAGAGGAAACATGGGGAACATGGAAAACCTTGCTGAAAATTCCAAATCCATACTCTTTGGCTTTCAGAGGTGTGTCTTTGCATTTAGAAACTCTTATTAATAATATAAGAGGAGCCAGATTCCAGTCAAAATAGAAGGAAAACTGAGTTTCGTTAGCTGTATGAGTTGCTGATTCTCTCTAGAGTCCAGTGTCCTCTGGGCCGCAGATGCAGTGGGTGGGGGTTCACTGTGTGCTGTTGGGCACAGCCCAAACCTCTGCCATAGGTCTCTCTCCTGGAGGGTCTGCAGCTCACCTGCCTGTGTTACAGGGAGACCCACTGCAGCGAAGAACGAAATGGTTTAGGAGGGAAGTAATTCCTTCCTCCGTTTTGCTTTACTCTTAACTTCAAAGTAATCAAATGTTGTTTATGCATAAAATTTTAATCCTTTCACAAATTTGTATTTTGATTTAATTTGCATATCCCATTTACTGCAAGTCAACATGAAGAGAGACTCAACTAATTTAAACCATTTTTCTCTGGGCCTGAAATCCTTTCAGAAATATTTTCCATTAGGCGACTCAATTATGTCTAATGTGGCTAATGTCGGTGGATTAGAATTTTGCTTAAAGAAACTCATATTTAGAACAGTGAGAATGGGAAGAGGGTGGGAGAACAGAGGAGAAGAGACAATAATTACCTGTCTTTGATGCTACACAGATCAATGTGTAAATCACTAAAATTCCCCAGGGAACCTTGCTGAACTGAAATGAGGTCCTTGGGCTGGTTATCAATAAAGATGAGCCTCATGCAGCCTTGGAAAGCCTTAATGGGATTTAAACATTGGGAATCGGTGAGATTGTCGGGGCACCCTGTGGGACAGAGAAAAAAGATGAAGAAGAATACTGAAATGATCCGTCATTGCTCTGGCGACCTATTGATGGAAGACCTTGAGGTCTAATTATTTTGGTGCTTTTTCATTCACAGCGGTGCACGCCCTTTCGTTGTAAATCCTAGCATTCTCAGGGAGCGGAACGGAATCGGTACAAAACAGGGCATACTCAATCACCATAGAGAAAATAAAAAGTGTGGCAAAGGGAATACCAGTACTGTATTTATCTCATTCTGAGTTTCTTTATGTAGGTCAGCTGTTCGTTATTCTTTCGCATGGAGTCCTTCACTCATCGCAAGGAAGCGATGCATTGTAACTACCTGGGAATTTTGGGTCTGTCTTGAAAGCGCGTATCTAAATGCACAATTCAATTTTTTTTTTTTTTTTTTGAGACAGAGTCTCACTTTGTTGCCCAGGCTAGAGTGAGTGCCGTGGCGTCAGCCTAGCTCACAGCAACCTCAAGACTCCTGGGCTCAGAGAATCCTTCTGCCTCAGCCTCCCGAGTAGCTGGGACTGCAGGCATGCGCCACCATGCCCGGCTAATTTTTCTTATATATTAGTTGGCCAATTAATTATTTTATTTATAGTAGAAATGATGTCTTGGTCTTGCTCAGGCTGGTTTCGAACTCCTGACCTCGGAGCAATCCGCCCGCCTCAGCTTCCCAGAGTGCTAGGATTATAGGCGTGAGCCACCGCGCCCGGCCAAAAATTCAATTCTGAATTACACTTTCAACAGACATTATGCTTTGTCTAAGGATGGCAGCAGAGTAATTGTCTGGCTAATTGTTGGCATTAACAGGCTTAGTTCCTGAGAAAGGTACACTCAGGAACATAACTGGAATTTTGAAGTGATGTGCAAAACAAATCCGGACTTTAAGGAAACTAAGGGTTTAAATGCACATAGTTACAGGGCTGTAATAGCATATGTGCGAGGGTAACACTATACCTTTTTTAAAGGGTGTTCTTTAAAAAAAAAGGATTACACTAATTTAGCATAGCTTGCAACCAGGGCATATCTACTTCTCATTAAGACAGGTATAGAGCATCACAGGTGTATAAGTGGTATGCTCCTTACAAACTCCATTCCAGTGGTTTTAATAGGTTCAGAGCATATGGGAATGCAAGCTTGAAACCATGGCAATAACCCATAAATAATTGGGAATTATTTCAGCCATCTCTAATAGACAGTCACTGCTGGGCTGAAGCCTGGCAGCTGGCTAACAGCTCACAAGCACACCATAAAATGAAGAGAGATGCTACAATTTCTAATTGAAGCTATAGAGAGAATTTATGTAAGTTGACTATTATTACTGAAAACATTTTTCACCTTCCTTAAGTTTATAGCCTACATGTGGGGCGTTTGTTTAAACACTGTTCAAATCATAGATAAATCTTCCTCTCCTTAGCACTGTGCCCCTTAAACCCGGACCTGAGAACACGTCGACTGGGGGAGGGGAGTCATTTTGCCTTTGAGGAATGTCGATGCTTACTGTATCGTAATTTCTAAAAAACATTTTTCCCAGAAATAAATTCAAGATCCCTTTTCTCTCTTTGTTGCTGAATTATTGAATGAGATGTAAAATCATGCAGTCTGTAAGGTACGTCTTCCGGGCCTCTTGTTCTGCAGCCTCTATGATGCATTTTTGTCATCTCCTTGTTTTCACTAGTGGACTGTGGAAAACAGATCCAGACTTGAACCCTTGCTCTGCTCCTCACTAGCTCTATGGCCTCATACAAATTATTTCATCTGAGCAAACATCAGTCTTATTACCTATTCAATAGGGATAATGTTACCTGCCTCACAAACTTGCTGCATGAATTAAATGAGGTAAGACACATAAAACCTTAACAGAGACTGGAAGTGCATCCCCTTCCTAAAGGAATGTGTCCTCCCTGAACACATGCAGAAGACTAGGGTGGGGACAGAGGCCCTCCCTCACTCTAAAATCAAACCACAAGGATAATGCTCCTCACTGCTTCCCTTCCCGGAGACCCCAATATGCACCTGTGCAAGTCCCTTGTGTATTTCAAAGCTTTAGCCACATTTCTTTGGTGTGAGAGAAATGATTTATAAATCCCATTTAAGAGACTACAGGGCATAATTTTATGCAATACGTTTCTCCAACTTTTCAATGGAAGAAGAACTGGCAAGTGTGGTTCGGACCCTGCCCCATGCCCGTGTCTGTAGGAGCTGAAGCCACACAGTCTGTCTCCTGCCGCGCAGCAGGCTCTGTGCTGCCATCTAAACCTTGTCCTCAGCCAGCTCTCCAGGCTATGCTGAGACCGGCTTATTTCCCCATGTCCCAGGTAAGGAAATTCAGGGACTGTAAGTGTCTTTCTCAAGGTCAGACAGCCACTGAGGTTAAATCCTCTTCAGAGATTATTTCTATAGTACAAACAACTGACTAGGAAATTAGATATTAATTTTTAATGAAAGAAATGCCATCAAACAACTAAATAAAATATATATGCATTGATAAAAATGCAGTAGATGTCTAATGATTCGTCTTTCATCATTACCAGTTTGCCCTTGTGTTTTCATCATTGGAAAGATTCTCAGGAACCACCTAACATCAGAGAAGGCAGAATCTGAACTGGCTTTTCCATGTGGAGCTACAAGCTCATGGGCCTTCTAGTTCCTTCCCACAGTTGGCTGCCCTACTCCATGGGCAGGGGCTCCAGGGAGGCAGGGAAGGAGAGGACAGGGGACCAAGAAAGCGAAGTGGCCTAGATGGCCAAGTGTACTGGCTGTGCCTTTCCACCTGAATTTTTCCTCTCGTAGGTACTGCTGACTCTTGGTACACTTTCCCTAAGTTTTCAGCTGAGTTTCTCCTTTCTAATGCGATCACAGAGCTTGGCATAGCTACAAAAATCTCCTTTGGATATGTTATGTAACACCAGCTCTTATAGCTAAAGTTCTTTTCTTCCTCAGCACTGACCTAGATAATTTATATTTGCACAGCTGTGAGAGATTTTGCTTCACACTATTTTGGGTTTGAGGGTGGATGTGTGTGTGTGTGTGTGTGTGTGTGTGTGTGTGTGTGTATGTGTGGTGGGAGAATGGTCTAATTGACAAAGTGAAATCACCACAGTGAAATAAATGCCTGCTGCATTCTCCCTACCCCATTTATTTTCACTCTCAAAGGTTGGAGAATTTACCTCCAAAGTAGTAGCTCTTTCCAGAATAAATCTGCACCCAGGTGGTGTCCTGAGCTGGGGATGTTGCATCGTTATCCAGAGTGAGAGTGATGCGGTTCCTCCTGGCATTGATGCTAACCGAATGCCACAAGCCGTCATTCAAGTTGCTGCCTGCAAGAGAAACAGGAAGGACAAGCACAGGGATGATGGATTGGGGCAGTCTGGCGAGAGGGCTCGTTCCCAGCCTGCTGAGACACACCCCACTCTTCCCTGGGCTCCCGCAAACGCCCCCGCTGTTTCACAAGGGACATCTTTCTCCCTCTTTTTATCACTTGATTCTATTCTCCTTTTGTTTCTTTTTTTTTTTTTTAATTACCTAAAGTACTTCTGATAGTTTTGGCTTACAAACAAAAGCAAAGTTACAAAATTCATATATACTACAACCAAAAGCACGGCATAGAGTGATGTATTAATGTATAAAAGCAGAAGAAAAACAGAAAACAAACAAAAAACCCCAACAAAACTTGAAATGTTACCAGCAGTTTTACCTTTGGGTGGGGGCTTATAAGCAATTTTTGTTTTCTCACACTTTCTTAAAACCAATTTTTTTAGTAAAAAGTGAACTATTTTTTAAAGTAGAAAAGGCAAGCCAGATTGCAATGACATGCCAGGCAGAGGCAGCCTCCTGCTGGAGAGAGGTAACAGACAGGTTCATTTCCAGCCTCTTCCCATAACTATGCTCTGATTTTATCACCTGTAATATTATAACCCCTGCCCTGTATCAGTGATCAAATGAGATCGGGCAGCTCTGTGTCTAGCGCCGTTTGGAGGGAGAGTAGACGCTATGTCCGGTTCTCCTGTTCTTCCGCCCTGATGTCCTTGGTGCGCACTGCATTGCTGACCTGCCCTATTGAGGAAACGCCGCTGGGAACTAGTCATGAGAGTTTCAACTGTTCTCTCCAAAAATGTACCACCTGTTAAGACGGTTATGTCAGTGCAAAGCACTTGCTGAAGAAAACACAGTCACATTAACCAATCGAGTCACAAAGATTTGTCTGTGACAGGAGCACGCAGCCACACGGTTCTTCATTCAGTAGTCATTGACTGTGCCCTGTTATGTGCGGAGTTGCCTTCCCTCTCCTTGCCTCAGCTTTTTCCCCTGCAAAAGGGGGGCAGTGATTGGCACTGAAAGGCCCTCATGAGAACTGCACCCTTAACACAGCAGTGCATGCAGAACAGTTCGTGTCGATCCTAAGCAGCCAGTGGCAGCTCAAACACAGTGGTCCCTGGCAACGGGGAGTATGGATAAGGGCACCCATGGCCTCTATCCGGGGGTGGTCCACAGTCAAGCGAAGAGACATATGCAAAGAGGATTAAAATACTGCCTTTCAAGTTCTGGCTGGGGGTGGGGTAGACCAAGAAGCAAGCAAACAATAATGCTTGCGATTCTGGGTGGAACAGTGTATGATATGTGGGAAGGAAGAAAGAGGCCTACCTAGCCCATGTGAGGGTCCCAAGAGTGTTTCACAGAAGTGGGTGACAGTTAAGGGAAGTATTGGAAACTGAGAAAGTTTGCAGTTCAGAGTGAGCGCTCCAGGAGACAAAGGCTGTACAAAGACCCGAGGTCTGGAATGAGAAGCAGAGAGGACGATGGGAAGAAACCTGGGAGAGGCCCCAGTCGCCCCGGGGCCTTACAGGCAGGCAAAAGGGGTGTTTTAACACTATCTTTTGACAAATGATTCTGGAGTACACTTTACCCAAACCAATTCCATCAGAATCTCCGGGGATGGGCTCTAGGCACCTGCATTTTCTCAAAAGCTCCCTGGGTGACTCTAAAGCACAGCCAAGGATATAAATCTCTGCTTTGGAGCCTGGGAGTCCATGAGGGGTCTTTAGCTTGGTAATGACTGGGTGGAGGTGTTGATTCAAAAATCCTCCCTCCCTCCCGCTGCAGAGCAGAGGACAGAGGCAGGGAGGAGTGCAAGAGGGGAGGCGATTGCTTGCAGAGGCCCCAGGATACAGGATGGTAGGGTCTTCGAGAAAGTAGCAGCAGGGAAAGCAGTGAGCAAATGATGGATGGAGAGCTATTTGCAGAGGTAAAACAGACCTGCCTTGGTAGAGCCTACTAAGAAGCCAGCAGGGAAGAAAGCACTGACAATCTCAGCAGAGTGGCAAGTAAGGAGCTTGTGCTCCCCGTCCCCTCCCCCACGCTACCTGGGGCTCTGGAATGGCTAGGGAAGCTGCCCAGGGAGAAGCAGGGCGCCAGGCCAGGCCGGCTGCATTTGCGCCACGGCAGCTGGGTCCCATCTGCTCAGAGTGGCCAGATGCAGGAGGCCTCCTGTGTCATAGCCAGCTCCTTGTGGCCAGTCCCCTTGCCGCCTGGAACATCTGCTTGGGGTAGAGGGGAGAACCCACAGGCTGCTGAGCCTGGTGGCCCACTTTGTCCCAAAGGCAGTTGTCTTCCGACAGGGTTTGGGTCCTGGCCACAGGGACTCTGCTAATCAGGTAGAGGCTCTGTCAGGTGTTTCTTGGTGAGGCACATTTGACTTCTTTTGGGAATTTGGGGAGCACAGTCAATTGTAAGTCTTACTTTTACTTTCATTTGCATACTCATTTGAATATATCTGCATAACATATGGGCTGGCATTTGCAGGTAAAGTCTAGACTGGGCTGGAAGGGAGTTAATAACTAGTTCTGCATTATAGGGTCTAAATAGTCCTCAAGGGCCAAGCACCCTGCGAAGCGTCAGGGATGCAGTAGAGAAGAAAGACTTTCAGAGGCCACAAGGAGCAGCCCCTCTAATGAGAGACCCAGCAGCATTTTCCAGATGAAACTGGCTGGGAGAAGGGGCTACTCCTGTGAGTCTGCAGAACAGCCTCTGTGCTCAGGTTGTGGCCTGGCCCGTCCCACATCACTGTCTGTGGCTCTCTCTTTAAAGTTTTCACTTGGTGAGGGTTTGCTGGGTTGGTCTCTTCCCCTCTCTCCTCTCCCCCTTCCCCTCCCCTCTCCTTTCTCTTCCCTCTCTCTCTCCCTCTCCCCTCCTCTCCCCTCTCCTTTCCTGGTTTTTTTTTTTTTTTCTCTTTGGTCTGCTTTTCTTTTTTGTTTTGTTTTATTTCAGCATATTATGGGGATACAAACATTAAGGTTACATATATTGCCCTTCGCCCCCACCCCCCTCAAGTCAGAGCTTCAAGCGCGTCCATCCCCCAGATGGTGCACATCACACTCATTATGTATGTATACACCCATCCCCTCCTCCCCTCCCATCCGCCAGACACCCGATAAATGTTATGTCTATAAGCGCACTTAGGTGCTGATCAGTGAAACCAATCTGCTGGTGAGTACATGTGCTTATTTTTCCGTTCTTGGGATAGAGCAGGTCTGCTTTTCTTTGAGTTGACCTTTTCCTGCCTTTTCCTGTGGGGAGTGGGGGGCTTGTGTGAAAATCTTAGCTCTGTGGACGAGAATTATTAGAATAATCATTTTTGATGCCCATATCACCTGGGAAGCTTTTGAAAATACAGAACACTGAGCCCAAGCAGGTTAATTAAGTCAGATTTCTGGGGGTGGCCCCAGGCCTTGGAAGGTTCAAAGATCCCTGGGAATTCATAGTATCACAGATTATTTTCATTTTTTAATCCATACAGTACTGAAATTTTCAAAGTTTCTTAAATAATGTACAATCTTCATAATCTCTTAAAAAAACTGTTTAAGCTGAAATCAAGGACAGAAGAAATGTCCGACCTTTTCTACTTTTGTTCTCATGGCTTTTTGCAAGTCCCAGAATCCAGTCTCAGACATTGGTACGAAAGGTTTCTTAGAGAGAAAGAGTTACGTAGGCTGTCCTGCGCTTCTCTAGGAATCAAATCGAGAATGGAAAGTTTTCTGTATAAATAAAAATGACATTTTCAATCTTTACAACTGCACTTGCAAATGAACCTTTGAAAACACAGCCTGATTGTAAAAATAGCTAATAATACACGCTACCAATGTTGAATGGCTACAATGTGCCAGGCACTTTAAATATATAATTCCTAATTTTTGCAATCGTCCTGGAGTTCACATTTACTGTCCTCATGTTATAGATGTAGCAGAGGAGACCAGAGAGGCTTCCCGGGTCCCACGGCTATCACAGGGAGGGGCCGGGCACCGGGGCAGCCAGCACCCCACCTGCTGCAGCACCGTCAAAGCCACCAGGCCAGCCCTGCTTCTGGAATCACTTGCATGACCAGGGAACTCCACAAAGTGTTATTTTTTGTTGCTGACTTCAACTTTTCTTTTGTTATTATTACTTTGGTAACAGCTTTACTGAGATAAAATTCACGTACCATACATTTCATCTGTTTTAAAGTGTGCAACTCGATGGCTTTTAGTAAATCCAGGGTAATACAATCACCACAATCAATTTTAAAATATTCTGTCACCACCAAAATGCCCTCTGTAACTTTCATCTCTCATCACTCCATCTTCTTGTGCCCTCACCTGCAGCCCTGGTCAACCACTAATCCACTTTTGCACCTCTATGGATTTCCCTAGTCTTGGCATTTCATATAAATGAAATTATATGGTAGGCACCATTTTATGACTGGCTTCTATGGCTTAGCATAACGTTTTCAAGGTCTGTCCATGTTTCATGAATTGGAATATCTGTATAGCTGAATAATGTCCTACTATACAAATATGCTACATTTGATTCATTCATCACCTGTTGGTGGACATTTAGGTTGTTTCCACTTTGGGGCATTATTGTGAATAATGCTGCCATGAACATTTGGGTACATGTTTCTGTGTGGAATATATTTACGATTTTCTTGGACACCTAGAAGTGCAGTTGCTGGGTCATGTGGTAATTCCATACTTCACCCTTTGGGGAATTGCCAGACTCTTCCAAAGTGGCGGGTTTACATTCCTATAGGACAACTTTGCTTTTAACAATACTGACTTCAAACTTTAGTCCTGCCCTTTTGTGGATCATCTAGCTTCTGAGAAGAATTAAAATCAGATTCAACTTTTGTTTCTACTTAGGTCTGACCTTAGAACGCTAAGCCAAATTTTATTACTTTGATTTTACTTTGGTGGAGGTGGGGAGTCTTGTACTATACCTCTTGTATTCTGGATCTCAATTACTTTTCTCTTTGTCGCTCTACTTCCTCAGTCAAATTTCTAACAGA